GAAAGTAAAGGCTATTACTAGTTGGCAAGCACCAGTAAGCACGAAAGGGATTCGTAGTTTTATAGGCTTTGCAAATTTCTATAGAGATTTCATACCTAATTTTGGACGAATTGCAGCACCTCTGTTAAGCTTAACCAAAAAGCATGCTCAATTCCAGTGGGAAGCCCCTCAACAAAAGGCATTCGAAGAATTAAAACAGCGCTTCATAAAATCCCCGATCTTAGCCTTATGGGACGATGAAAAAGAGACCGTACTCGAAGCAGATAGTTCAGGTTATGTATTGGGTGGTTGTTTATCACAAAAGGACAAAAAGGGGCAATTAAAGCCAATTGCATACTTATCAAAGAAATTGACTTCGGCAGAAGTTAATTATGACATCCATGACAAGGAAATGCTATCCATTATTCGTTGTATGGAGGAATGGCGGGGTATGCTAATTGGACTAAGTAAACCTTTCACAGTCTTATCGGACCACAAGAATCTCAGACATTTTATGACTATACGTACACTTAACGAGCGCCAAATGCGTTGGTCGCAGTTTCTGTCAAATTTCAATTTCATTATAAAATTCAGACCGGGAAATCAAGCAGCAAGGCCAGACGCACTGTCAAGACGCGAGCAAGATATGCCACAAGGCTCGGACGATTATAGAATTAAAAATAGAGACGTACAGTTAATAAAAGATTCTTGGGTATCAGGCGTAGCTACAAGAAATCGACACAAGCAAGTCGAGAAAAATAACGCGAATATTATTCCTAAAGGCTCAAGTATATTTGAAGAGGAAAATTTTCAAACTCTATGGGATAAAGCATTACGCGAAGATAAGGATATTTCCACTCTTTACAAAAGTTTGGAAAAGGGAGAAAGAAGCCTTCCACCAACTCTCAAACACCTGAAGATCTCTTTGGCAGAATGTAGCTTTGATACTAGAGGAGCGCTCAGATTTAGAGATAGAGTTTGGATCCCTAACTATGAGCCGCTTCAAACAGCGCTAATTCAGAAAACACACGATTCACAAGTTACAGGGCACCCGGGACGAGACAGCACATTAGCAATTTTAAGCCGTAATTTTTTTTGGCCAGGTATTTCAAGATGTGTGAGAAGGTTCTGTCGTAACTGCGATGTTTGCGGCCGGAGTCATGTTTGGAGAGAGAGCAAAAAGGGATTACTGAGACCACTACCAGTGCCTGATAGGTTTAATAGCGAGCTCGGCATCGATTTCATGACCGATCTACCGGCAAAAACGGCAAATGAACCACGGTATCTAATGGTCGTGGTGGATCGTTTAAAGGGAGGTGTTGCGCTTGAGGATATGACAAGTATGAAAGCCGAACACTGTGCAAGTGTATTCCTTAGATTGCATGTCAGACACCATGGATTTCCTAACTACATTACATCAGACAGAGGTTCTAACTGGGTTGGAGATTTCTGGACAGAATTATGCAGATTAACAGGTGTAAAGCAGCGTCTATCAACGGCATTTCACCCACAAACAGATGGGGCTACGGAGAGGATGAACCAAGAAGTCCTTGGATATTTAAGAGCTTTTATAACTTACGCACAATTCGATTGGAAAGAACTCTTACCCTGTGCAATGCTTGCAATTAATAATAGAATCGTGTCTTCCCTCGGCATGAGTCCTTTCTTCGCGGAACATGGATACAACATTGAACCGATTCAACTGGTAAATCCAAAAGATAAGCCATCAGCACCTGAAAAACGAGCACAAAACTTTGTTAAAAGAATTCACGAGGCAGAAGAGCTAGCACAGGCTTCGATGGCTTCGTCACAACAAAGAATGGAAGAATATGCAAATAGAAAACGTTCTGAGGCTGAAATATTCAAGGTGGGAGATAGAGTTTGGTTAAACTTGAAGAACATACAAACTCCTCAACTATCTAAAAAGCTATCTTGGATCAACGCAAAGTATCAAGTCACTAAAATAATCGACTCCCATTCAGTAGAACTAAATACACCTTCAGGGATTTGGCCGCGTTTTCACGTAGACTTGCTTAAAAGAGCAGCGACAGACCCCCTACCATCACAAATAATAGACGATGTACAGCCGCCACCTATTCAACATGATATGCAAAATGATGTAAACGATTATGCTTTTGAGAACGCCAATATACAAGTCGTTGAAAAAATTTTGCGTTCAGAGAGGACTAAAGTTGGACGAGGTCACTGGCGTTTACTCCTGGTGAAATGGAGAGGGTTTGCAGAGCCGACATGGGAGCCCCGTGAAAATTTAGAGGAAACTGAAGCGCTGGATATATTTGAAGCAAAATACGGTAAAGGAGATAATACTGGAGAAGACGCTGGCGCAATCATAGGTCGCCGCAAACTGACCAAAAGTTCTCTGTTGGCGAAGTCAAAAACTATAAATATTCGGCAATAAAGTTCTACCATGGGTACGGGGGGGGTAATGTTACAGGCTGTGGCCTCGTTTATCTGGAACCGGAGTTTATCCGGCTCCGAATAGGCGTTGTACCTATTTTGGGAAAAGCCTCGACCCTGCTTAGTAAAGTCTCACAAGTGACGCGTCGCGTAATGTTCATATTAGCCAAATCCTTTCGTAGCTTCGACTTTCCTCTCTAGATAGAAAAAAAACTCATTTTTAACATACGATTGCGAGAAGCTAGCGTACCGTTCTTTTACACTAATGTCGGTATTAGAAGACCCCCGCAACCAGTGGTTTTTGCGACTTTTCATGGCTGCCATACACCCGCGAATGGCCATTGTTTCGTTGGATGGAGAGGGGAGATGATAAAGGTCGACGGGTGTAACGGCTGTTAATCATAAGGATTACTGTAGCCTACGCTGGCTAGCGCAGCCAATGAAAGCAAGGGAATTTTCGGGAAGGATCTCGGAATACAACGAGCTTAGAAGATTCTCAATGAACCTTCTGAAAGCACACTGAAAGTTCATGAGGACAACAGGTGTATCAAAAATCTTCTAGGGTATTATCGAGGAATCCATGTTATTCTAGTCATAGTGTTAAGCAAAGTTATACTAATATGAATCTCTCTCAGAGTTGATTGAATTGATTATCCTCTACCATGAGGAATCTATCTAAGTACTATATACATCTTAAGTATCCTACTAATTCCAAATATAGACTGACTATTAGATTTCCCATGCAAACTGCTCAAATCTCCGTTCCATACATTGTTCTGAAATTGGCTGTTACATTATCATGGGCAATAGAAGGAGTGAAACAACAAGGGAGTTGTGCGTATGAAATTGGCCATCCGTCTAGTCGCTAGTTGTAACATTTACATGACTAAGTTATTGCCCTTGATGCATCGGCCCAGTTTACTTGCTTGTAAACTACTCAACTTAGACATCATGATACAATATTGAAATTTAGGGTTATCTGTCTGACACATAGGGAGAACCTTATGGAAGAGGAGTATCTCGGAGTGTGTATATATTTGTAGTCTAGCTATAGGTATTCTATCTCTAGAGAATTATAATTAACATACTGTACTTACAAGATTGCTCATTCATTTTGTACTGAAACCATGACAACGGGCTCCTCTAAGTGTATGATCGAATGAAGATTTGTGAGGGGTGGTGCTGTATGAGGGGAGCTGTATGGGAGGCATGAGAGGGGATATACTAATGGCATAGGTATCCTTGGCCTGTATGCAGAGAAGACCTGCATGTCCTACATAGCTATAGACTCAGACAGTATAATAAAATGAATTATAAAAAATCAAAAACTTCACATTACATATCTAGGTAGTGCGATCCGTGCTTAGAGGATCGATCCTGACTTCACGTGACAACTAGACTTGACCTGAACTTTTCTATTTCAACAGTTTTACAACTCGAAAAAAAGAGGTCCTCCGACCACTGTTTCTATTGATACCTCGGACAATACCATGCTCAGCTCAATAAGGCACAGAATTCTAATTCTATAGTATCTATGGCTCTTGCTTCAGCTGAAGGAGTTAATGCATTCAATAGCTCGGTGCGTGTCACAAATTTCTTCATTCCAGTTTTGTTGTAGAACTTTTTATTCATTTAGTACCATCTGCATGTCATGAGATTCGTTGGACGGATGACATCCAGATATAATATAATCTTCGACAGCAGGCGATAAGATCCTGGCTTTCATTTGCTTTGTTGGGTCTGTGTGGGCGCCAACATGTCGGGTAGTTTAATCTAGACTGGGCTAAACGGCACGTGAGGAGCTTACGTGCTGTGCGTGGGCATAACATTAAGTATTATAAATAAATAAATACAGTTTCACGATTGCCTATAAGTTGGCGATACACTATATGTGATAGGACGGAACATAAGCTTCTAGCTGACGTGTGCCCAAAACATATTTTTGATTCTTTCTAAAGATAAGGATGTTCATAAACGTAACACTACGCGTCGTGTAAGGCGTCCCTGTATATAACCAATAATAGTGCCTGACCACAAGTGTGTTAGCGTTTGGCAAGGGACCGGATAAACTCCGGTTTCAGACTCACACGGCTACAGCCTGTAATACTGTATTCATAGAAAATCAAGTTGCATCTTGTCTTAAGCTCTACGATACATAGTATTAGTCTGTAGCCACGAGACAACTGCAACCTACCCTTTACGAATCCAAGCTTATTTAATGTTTCACATATTCTAATCCACTAGGAACCTCACATGCGTTACGTGAATAGTCAAGAAAATAATAACGAATACAATAATAAGTAATAGATCACTTTTAATACAAGTCCATAGCAGTATAATGATATCTGATCTTCCCCATACTCATGCCAATGAGCGTCATCAGTAGTCCAACATCTATGTATTAAGATCGTACTTTCGCGTTTCGACTAGAGCCAAACTTATGCAAGAATAAATCTCCTTACGACTTTACACTATTTATACAAGCTGAGGGTGTTTCTCGCATGGACCAAACACTGATAACTGAGGATATTATATAAAAGTAACCTCTACTTCTATACAAATTCTTTTTTGACATTACTTTGTACCTCACCCAATAAATTGGGTCATTGTCCATAACTCCCAGATCCAATAATACTAGAGCCGTACTTCAGCCACATACTATATTCACTCCCGGTTGTAGCCAGTCTTAGGTCCCTCAGTTCTGATACTTGGCTTTTCAAGTTATTCTCCGAAGTATTGGGAAACATGAGGCGTTGACTACTGCCTGTGCGGGATAGTAATGGGGCCGGAAGTGACTTTGCCGTATTAGCATCTATGACGGTCTGACAAGGCTCAGATTTAAGAGAGCTGTGTGAGCAGAATTTGTGGTGCAACTTCTCACATGAAAGCTTTTCAGGGAAAAGATGATCGACAGAACGGAAGGGTTTCTCCAGATTCATTGCTTTTTCTTGCCAAAACTGTACAAGCTTCCTCATCTCTTGGACTTGTGCGCTGAGGGTTCCAATATCAATTTCTTGGCGAATATTAAGTTGTTGTCTTAGCTTATACACCTCCTCACATTTCAAATCTAATTGTCTTTGAAGGTGTCTAACTCTGCCATATAATACTGAATTGCTTCGGCCAGGCGTGGAGCTTGTTTTCAGACTAGCAGGGGAATAAACAGATCTAGCTTCTTGAAATAGTAAATTTGGTGGCATAAAGCCCGTTAACGCCTCTGGCTCGTGGCACATAGTACATCCTTCACACGAATGTGGCTCAAATTGATTTTTAAATGTCTGCAATGAGCTTGGAGAGCCAGAATTTATTTTTCGGGATGGGGTTCTGTATGAAGATGAGCTTTCAACATCCAGATGAGTCAGCGGAACCTTTAAATCTGGATCAGTTTCTATCCGAATGAGGTCTCTTCTTGATTTATTTATACTATGATCTATTTTCATCTGCTTTTGAAATTTTTGTGGCGCGGAAAATGGTCTAGGGAGCTGAGAGAGTTGTCTTTGGAAGGGATCAAATTCATCAGCTGATTTTTTTGCAGTCCAGCGGCAGAGGTGGTATGGGTTCGGTATATTTAAAATGGTAGATATTCCTTTCGTTTTCTTTGATTTCGGGCCTGGCGACAATGGAAAGTTGCTTTCTGCAAGTTTATGCTGCTCAGGTTTTGGTGCCAAAGACCCCCTGGAAGATTTCCGAAGCTTGACATGAAGATGGTGATTGGACGAATATGTAATTGGGACTGTATTTAGAGCGCAGCTTGGTTTAATTAGTTTTTTAATCTTAGTGGGTGATATCGAGTTTGTTGTGTAAGCAGCCAGAAGTTTTTCATTTCTAGAAAAAAAATTATCATCAGGGTTTTCCGAGCCATGTTCGTGCGTAGATCCAGAAGAAGAGTCCGCTCGCGCAGGAGAGGATAAAGGATTGACAGAGCCGTCACTGCTGAAAATGGCTAACAAATCTGACATTTTTTTGCTGCGATTTATTTCTGTTTGAGTTGTAGCTATGCTTGAGTTCAAATCATCATTTCTGGCGTGATTCAACCCAAACTTTCGCCTAGTAGTTTCAGCGTGAAGTGGGGAGACTAAACTATGGCAAATTGATTGCTCACGGTCTATCTCATGCTGCTTGTTTCCACGATCACCAAATCTAAGTTTAAAAATATCCCCAATATCTTTTATCGGAGCAAGTTCTAATCTTTGAGAAATCGTCATTAGCGAGCATTTGTTCGAGAGCTTTGAGCCCTTTTCTAAGTTTGTGGATTGCTCTAAACTGGATTTAGGTGAATTCATGCTCTTCCATTCATCGCAGAAAGATGACATTTTAGTTGTGTTAGGCACAGAAGCACTCTCTAATTCGCGACGTATTCCGCTCGAGATATCAAGATACGAGCTTTGAAGTGAGTTGAAAGGAATACATTGTGATTGGTTAAAATACGCAAGTGAGTTTTCAGTGAGGCAATTTTGACGTAACTGATTTGACTTATGGTGAGATGTCTTTGTAGGTGTGATTCGGGCCCTAGATGTTTTGGAAGCAGAATGATAATAAAGCCGGGGAGCTTCTAGTGTACCCATCATAGCTTTATCTATACTGCAACTGTACTGTAATTGATCTTCGTTCCGATTGCTGGGTGAAGACGCTTGGTTTTTTTGAGTTGAGGCAGGATTCTCACGTGAATTACCAGAGATTATTTGAGTGTTATCGATTTTTGACTCGACGTAGTCAGGTTGTGTAAAACTTTCATCTTGATATTTTGCATTACATTCAATTCTTGAAGATGCAGAATTTAGTGAATTCTTTGGGATAATTTCGTTGTTTGTACTTATCTCAGGTGGGCTACTTTGTGGTCTAGGAGTAGAGTTGGATAGATCAAATTTTCGAACGGTAACCCGGGTTGACGAACAACGCGGTTTCTCTGAGAATTCTTTAGGGTTTGATGACATGACAGAGAGTGATTTAGCTCCTATATTACATTTTATTAATAGCGATCTTGGGGTAGAGCTCTGTTTCTCAATTTTGAGATCGACATCTTCTAACTTTTCGGCACTAAGCAAACCCGACATTATTTGTATATGTGCTGGCTTATAGGCGGCGCTTTGACGGTGTTTTCTTGTAGAAGTATATGAAATACTTCTGCTCTCATTTTGTGCAACAAAAGACTCGTTCCAAGCTGGCGGTTTTCTCGAAGAGAACAACTCTGAAACTGACGGTCGTAGATCTGTTTGCTTAGGATCTCGAGTTATGATGCCTTGTACACAGATATTTCTGGATAAGTTCAAGTCTCTCATTTGATGGACAACATCACGCCAGTTAGCTATAAGCATTTCTGTTACACCATTAGCAATCTTGATTTTATCCACACGCGTGTTAAACATGTTCCATTCTCCGCAGGCAGGAGTATGTTTTTTTTTTCGTTCTTTTCTTGATTTTGGGGGACTCATAGGTAGCAAAACTAAGTTCCCTTTTGGATTGGCTAGTTTTATGGTATAGTCTTCCAAAAGATCACCTGCCAAAATAGGACCAAAAACTACACCTAATGAACTATAATTCATCATATCAGGTGCCGGAAGAGATTTGACACCATCTTTATCTTGACACATGGTTTCAGCAATATGCCCGATCATGCATAAAAACCCAAATATTGCACAAATCAAGTCCCGTTGATATTCTGAATCTAGACTCAGTATAGCCAAAGCGATAAGCCTTGCACGAATCTTTGCCTGTTTGGTCTGAGAATGTTCTGAAGATCCATTTGACCAAGACTGGATCGATATAAATATGTCGAAAAGAGTTAGGGAGCCAAGTATGCCCCCAGGAAGTCCAGCAAGAAATTTTTTAAGGGCAGAGGCTACATCATAAACATCACACTTAATATGCTTCGGTATAGTAGGACATCGTACCGTGCCAGAAATAGCATCTTCGCGCACGTCGTGGTAGCAGTAGTAATTATAAAGCTCCGTTACAGCACTGTGCAAGCCTGGAATTCGGAAGAGACCCTTTGTAGTTGTTCCTGAGATCTCATCAGTTACATTTTTAAACATTATAATCTGACTTACCGTACTGGATGAGATATTGGGTGGTAGCTCTAAAGCACGTGGGTAGGCTTAAGCTACCTACAGAATACTCAGTAGGTAGGTACAATAAGCTAGCTCCACAGAGTCTAACTAACTCCTCTAGATCCTTGTCTTTTAGTTTGTCCTTTTTAATGTTGAGCCGCAGAGATAGGTCACTGTAGCTTCTTTTGTGTCTAAGAAGACGTTCAGGCTTCTGTTTTACATTTTGAGTCGCGGATTGTCGTCTTAAGATTTTCCGCGAAAACCAGTTGCCTGGCTTTGTGGAGAAGTTTTTTCTCACGTCCTTTCATGTAGCTTTAGTCCCTGCTTATTTCTCAAAGAATTATCTACATACTCTTGATGTCCGGAATGCATCGGGGAAAATTGGGCGTATACCATACTATTAATCCATTAAGTCACAAAATTGGACCCCATCATAAATTGGTAAGATTACCTTTATTGCTAGGTTGTTATATTCTCTGATGAAGTTGAATCGTTCAGCCTTTTCATCATACTTAGTCAGTCCTCTTTTTGTTACTTCACTTGACTCGATCCATGTGTTATTCGATGGTAACAGCTGTAGTGAGCCTCGTTTATCCAAGGAATTTGCTGGATATTCTAAATACTGTTTTGCAGAGACGTGTTCCAGTTCAGCTAGACTAGATGGAGCGAGAAACGATATACCGAGTGGGTTCGCCGCCATAAGACCTTGTACAATCGTAAAATCGTCATGAGTTACCCTTGAAGGCTCGTTGTGTTCCGGCATTGACTGTTTTTTTTTATTTATTTGTGAAAAAAGAGGTGATAAACCCATTTCGAATTCATTCTGCCTAGAAAAGTCTTATTTGTGTCTCGATATATTCTTAAGACAATAACTTCATGTTTGGGATTTCCCGCTAAATTTATTTCGGTCGCACCTTCTCTGACAGATAGAAGGCAGTTGATATACTTACATTTTTCGCCATTTCTTAACACCAAAAAAATGGTAATTAAAACAAACATGATAAATCCAATCAAAATAGGAATATTATTATAGCTGCGCGAAAATGAAAATACTAGGAATCGATTGCGCCCTCATAAATTCCAGTTTTGGCCAGTACGCCTTTACAGAAAGTAACTAAAAACGACCTACCCTTAGTTTCATTGCCTAGCTCCTATTTCTTTATTCATTTATCTCTCCATGGAGAAGTACATATTTCAGAATATCTGATAAGGATATGATGCCCTTCAAACAGTTTTCATCATCAATAACGATGAGGCGGTGAACCCTAGATTTTCGTATTGTGTCAAATATTGAATTGAGCCTATCTTCTTCGCTGCAAGTGTAGATGCCCGCAAAGTCATTTGCTCTTTTTGATAGAGCTTCACCCACAATTGTTGTTAATTCATCGTATGCACCTCCTTTTATGATAGCGATTACATCGACAGCCTCGAAGACATTTAACACTCGTCCGTTCTCGTCCAAAATAGGCACACTGGATATACTATACTTAACCATAATATGAATTACATCCATTACAGGTGTATCCATGGTGGCAGTCTGCAAATCCTTATAGGTTCCGAGGCCAATCTCGGAAACACTTTTCTTGAGCATTTCCGTCTCAGTAACGTTGACTGCTATGAACTTGAGAAGTCTGTATTGTGTTATTACACTAACAACCATCTGTCTACCCGTTTCATCATCAAGATCAACAAGAGGTATTCTTCGTGCCCGTGTTTTTAACATCTGACGACAAGCCTCATACAAAGCGCGAGTCGGATGAACTGAAACAGTTTCGAGAGGAGACACTCCAATGGCTTTTTCAATGTCTATGAGGCAATCAGCATGAGGCCCTCGGATTACTAAGATTTTTGGAGACACCTCGTAGGCTACTCAGCCGGAACTGATCTATCTGGTTAAGTGCATCGGGGTACTGCCAATAATACTGTACAACGTTGATGTAGTCTGAGGTTGTCAAAAGGCCGGCAAATGTTGAAGTATGTGAGTCCCATAGAGGAGCAGAGACGATACCTAGAGGTTTCAGCTGGCACTCTTCAGTTTGACAACTAACCCACCATTTTGGAGCAATATGGTTAGGCTTTTTTTGACAAGCAAATCGGTGTCGAGTATGATAAGCCTGAAGGATAGAGGAAGGACGTCGTAGCTCGTACGAATTTTGAGGAACTCCCGAATGGCGTTCTGCAAGGCCAAAGTTGTCAGTCTCGCGCAAGCTCGCACAGATTTTATTCTCCAAACGACATTAAAGCCATCTCTGAGAACCAACTCATGTCTGATTGAGTTTGTTACTCGCGAATCTGGGACAATGCATAATACCTACCAGGCCGCTGAGCTGTTCGCTATCAACTGCGTTTATCTTCTGGGATGTTTCATGTATTGTGCGATTAAGGATTGGAAGTCTGAGGAAGGTTGAGGGCTGTGCGATTTGGGATACAACGGGTCCAGGGATATTAGAGCCCGATGGTAGCGCTTTCGACTTTATCACTGATGGATTTAAAGGTTTGGGCTCGCCCGTATCAGGCATGGTAAAATGAGTATTTCAGGACAATGTATGTGAATTGAACTAGTGGCCGGTAGATTCGTGTCGCAAATGAAGACTGTGGTTTAATTTTTGGGTGCGGAAGAAAGGTCGATAACTGAAGACAGAAGGCAAGGGGCCGAATGGTGGGTGTTGTGATAGAGAGGCGAAAGAGGTTGCGTATCTCGAGTTGACCCACGATACAATAGCGGACGTATTTCACAGCTGAGCCACCGTTGTAAGCGAGTAGTCAACCCTATCAAAATTTGCCCAGCATACGATGTGTAGCTTCGCAATCGTTTCACAACGGGAACTCAGAGTTATGGAGGGTGAACCATTAATTTTTCGGCTAGATCTCTCACTTGATTTCATGTAGGTAACTGTCAATAATGATTAACCGTAGGCAAATGATCTAGTTTTGACGGTACACTCGTGCCGCGACTATATTAGGCAAGTTAAATGCCAAAGGAGGATGAATTGAAATGTATCGGATCTATCCAAAGCTCTCAAAGAGACGGCATGTTAGTAGAAAATGTATATAGCGAAAAATGTCTAAATTTACTTGTTTATTTGCAGTCGCTAAACATTCATGCCTCCGAAACAGCCATGCTTATTATCACCTGATATATTTCCACGAGCTTCTTCTTATCACAACGTCCTGCCCAAGATCCCCTCCCTTAGAGGGATCATCGGAACCGATCTTCCATCCAGCAGAGAAGGCGCAGCTCTTCCAAGAAGCACTTCTTAGCTGTCATCTTAATCAAGCAGATATTGATGATGCAATTCCTACAGTGGTAAAAAGATCTATTGCATGGCCTCCGCTGACAAACCTAGAGATTTACAACTCGTGCTGCACTGTCCCGACATCCGCCCCTGGGCCTGACAGTATTAATGCTATAGTACTCAGGTGTGCCTGGCCAATAATCGGACCCAGGATAATCTCCTTATTCCGCCAATTTGATGAGTGGGGGATACACACTAGCGCATTTAAGAAGACTAACGTTGTTATAATACCAAAGTCTGGAAACCGTAACCGAGCTCTCCCAACATCATACCGCCCAATCGCTCTTCTATTATGCCTTGGCAAAGGATTGGAGAGACTCGTGGCGCGTCGTCTTTCATTCCTAGTACTCAGACATCAGATTCTTTCCCGGGATCAGTGTAGCGCAGTCCCACGGAGATCAGCTACCGATCCCACCACTGCATTGTCTTGCGACATTCAGGACGTGTGGGCCAAAAAAAATGTAGCCGGAATGGTTACTGTAGATGTCAAAGGTGCGTTTGATGGAATTCATAAAGGCCGCCTGTGTCACTGCCTACAGGGTTAAGGATGGCCCTTCAATGTTTTACAATGGGTGTCTTCTTTAATGTCCGAACGAGAGGCCTCAATTACACTGGATGGAAATATATCTCCGGTGTTCAAGATATACTGCGGACTTCCACAAGGGTCCCCAGCTTCGCCTATCTTATTTCTATTGGCAATTGAAGGTATGCTCCATCTCTCTCCAAAGCGTTTCGGCTATGCAGACGACGTTGCATTTATAGCGTCCGCACCGACTCTCGCTCGCTGCGGAGAGTTACTTCAGACGCAGTTATTTACGATCCTCGCCTGGGGACGTAAGAACGGCATCGTCCTTGAAGTCTCGAAAACGGAACTACAGTACTTCCACCGAAAGCACGGATCTCCACTAGAACCTAGTGTTTATGCGAATGGAGTTGAGATCAGACCAAACGCCCACACGTGCTGGTGTGAGGTCATATTCGATCAGAGCCTCCGATTTAGAGAAAATGTCAGACAAGCCTGCGGAAGATCCTTGGCTATTACAAGCCATATTAAAAGTCTTTCGGGTGTCACCCGAGGAATGAGCCATCTACTTTTGAGACAAGCGCTCCAAGGAGCAGCTTTCGCGACCTTGCTCTACGGGGCTGAGACATGGTATTCTAAAGGAACCCCGAAAAGACTGGTCCATTGAATCCAACAACGGATGAACGATGCTGCTCGCGCAGCATTTCCTGTATTACGAACTACACTAACAGCTGTTTTTCTTCGTGAAACAGGTTGGAGGCCCGCAAAAGCCTGGCTTGAGCGCATACACGATCGCCTCGTCCTACGTACTGCGGCGGCAGATCCTAGACACCCTCCTCGTAGATGGTGGAATTCTTCGTGAATGTGCGGGATCCGAGAAAGGATTTCCTTGGAGCTCTCAGAGGATAACATCCCTCCTCCTTGGGAAGTTGGACGCGATGAATGTTTGGAAAAGATAGGCGCTGTTGGCCAAACAGCGGGAGTCGATTCCTTCACTTAATAGTACGCCCAATAATCCATGATGGACTTCTTTGTTTTCTCCGACGGTGCTCTGATCGAGAATCAAGCAGGAGCCGGATACTCAATTCGACGCGGCGCAACCCATAAGATTGCCTGCGGAACCATCCCTCTAGGTGCTTCAGCAGAAGTATACGACGCAGAAATATCTGGAGCAACAGAAGATCTAGCAGCTACCCTCCACAATCCCATGGTCTTTTACGCAACCAGCGTAAATATCTGCCTAGATAACCAAGAAGCGGTTCTTCGAATCCTCTTGCTAACACCTACTGCAAAAATCTCTCGCCAAATTGCAAAATTCGGCTGCTAGCAACTAGCTGGAAGGACAGGTCACGGGCATCTTGTACTAGAGCAATAGCAGTCACTGTTAGATGGTACCCCGGACATTCTGGAATCCCTGGAAATGAAGCAGCTGATATTCTAGCGAAGTCGGTTTGTCTAATAACTGCGCCACTTCGACCTCTATCCAAAGCACGAGCAAAAAAAGAAAATTCTTGGTTGTACAACGCTTCCACCACCGCTTACTGGGCTCAGGAAGGCCCCACTAGACACAAAGAATTCGGAATTAGTCCTAGTATAGGAATAACGCCAGAACAGAGATGTTTAAACCGACGTGCACTTGGGGCGTTAATTGTAGCTCGTTCCGGACATGGACATTTCGCTCAATATCATCGTCGTTTCGCACATGAAGATGCTCTAATGACTTGCTCCTGTGGCGAAGAAAAAAGCCTAGACCTTTTCTTCTACTTCAGTATAGGAAGAAACTGTGCCAGTCTTTGCGGTGGACCTCGACACCCCCACCCTGGCATCAGATGGGTACTCGGCATGCCCGAGGGCGCCCTTGCCTTCGGAAAATGGGTTGAGCAGACCGAGTTTTACGACAAAATTCAACAAGCCCACTAGATTCCCCCTAGGAAAGAAGATATCTTGTGGTGAACTAATGTTGGATGGAAGGACTCACAATCTTTTCCTTCGTAGCGTTATCGTAAATCATTGTACAGCCTACGAGCGTAAGCTCAAACTACTTGTAAATCATATGTAAAGTTCGTGGTAAAGGGAAATTTGGTACATTAAAATTGGAAAGCAGAGTGACAGACTGCTTTATTATTATTATTATTATTATTATTATTATTATTATTATTATTATTATTATTATTATTATTATTATTATTATTATTTTTGGTCCTAAGCTAAAGCTATCTTTTCCACATTGGGTCAAGGACCGGCGGATCTGGCAAGGTTCCCTGTAATCTTTCCTACAGCCTAACTCGTTCCAACCTCGTGAATCGCTACCAAAAGTGCAGCTGATTAAACAAGAACGAAAAATCACAAAAATCAAAACAACTCCGAATACCAGAAGATTCCTCCATATTGGACCCAGTAAATGCGCTCCTCACACATTCCCTCGTCCGTCACACCTTCCAAATGACAAAATTTATTCAATCTCCGCTGAGAGCAAGAGATGAGTTAGCAGGCACCTTTGATCCAGCCGGTATCCTGCTATTGGTTAGTAGATGCCCCGAAAGGGGACATCGTCGAAGTTGCTGTGTCCTCAAACTTCTTCTTCAGCTTCCAGGGCTCCGAAATCTGTTGCCTCGGCCATTGAGACGTCCTTCGCAGCGGCGATGATCGCCTCTTCGGCCCTTTTTGCTGCTGCTCGAGCTCGTGCCACCTTTGAGAATTCCCCTTGCTCGAGGTGGCGAATCCAGGCGAGTTGCTCTTTGGTCACCGGTCCAGATTTTCTGGGTCTGACTTTGCAGTCCCGAGAATCCGATCGGTGAGGTCCCCCTCAGTTGCGACACTTTGTGAGGGCCTTGCACTCGGCTTCCGAGTGCATATTTGATCCGCAGTTCTAGCAGGCTGGAGCGCGGGAGCAACCACGGGTGGCGTGGAAGCCCAAACAGCGTTTATACTGTTCAATTTGTCGACGAGGCTTGTGGATGGTAGCCTTACCAGACTCGTCGAAGTAGCGGAAGCCCGCACGGGGGCGTCGTCTCGGGGAAAAAGGGCATGCCGGTTTCGATATGGTACCCCAGGTCGACACGTCCCATGAGGTCGAACCTGAATTGGAAGCACGCCGGTCGTAGTGACAAACTTGGTGGAGACCAACTTATCGTCGACCGCCCTGGGGCCGCGTACTGTAACTGTTGTTATTTATGCGACAGTGGAGTTAAGAGTATACTGCATACCAGCTATATATTCAGCTGCGTGTGGATACTTGCTCTCGAAACCAGATTCCTTATAATATAAATATATATATATAATTTATTGTGTGTATTATAACTACAACTATTGGTGCTCCTTTTCTTGTTCTTACAATTATCTACACACTTTACAATTACGGAAAGTATGGAATTCTAAGCGAGACACGTGATACAATTACAGATTTATCGCATGACTTTCAACAGTAACTATACTTACAGGTACGTTCGGTATCTGTAAGGCAACAAGATTCGAAGATGCCTCGAGTTTGGCGTTTTCGATCGCCAGCTTCGAAAAGCAATCTAACATCTCTTGTCTTATTGTATCATTCTTTGCTATCATAGCAAAGCCGGTTCTCACTCGATGGAGTGAGGTTATTTGATTTTGAAAATAGTCGAATGTGTACTCCATTCTAGTTCTCACGCAGCTTGTGGACAATTTTCGCCACGGGTGGTCCTTTTCAAGGCGAAGGAACAGTCGC